GAGGACATGAAAAGTTTCTGGAGTCGTGTATGTATGATTTTTTTGTTGTTTTATTTCTTGTCATTCAAATTTTTTTAATTGAAAATTAGAATGGAAAAAGAGGGAAGAGGAGGGAAGAAAGAAATGGAGAGTTTAAAAAATTCAATTTTTGGCTCAATGTTTTATCACTAAACATTTTGGTGAAGATGTTATTTTGAATGGCTTGTTTTCATTGTTTTTGAAAGAAAAAAGAAAAAAAAAAAACGAAATGAAACTTTTTGCAAATAATTTTTTAAAATTATTTCAATCAAATGAGTTTACTGGCGTTCTTTTTTTTTCCTGACGTAGAAGAAGGAAGATAGCGAAAGAGAAACAATATAACTGTAGAGTATCATTGTCTTTATACGACGCTGTTATGTGTTCATCAATTTTACCATAAAAGTTGTTGCTTCAAAAAGCTATCTATTGACTTCTACATTTATTTAGAGTTTTGGTTTATTTATGACTTCTCTACTGGATGTTCTGGTGTATTGTTATTGAAGCTTTTTTTCTTTGATCAATATTTTTTTATGGCAACTTGAACTTTTATTTTGGCCCGTGCTTAACATAAAACGAAGTTGTCTTTTCCAACTTTGGATGTTATTTTTAACTACTGTGAACCTGATCATTTGATTTTGCCTCAATTCGAAGCAGTTTTGGTCGAAAAAAAGAAAAATAGATGAAAAAAGTCACTGAAAAAAAGAGAGCTTAATCTAGGTTTTTTGTTCTTTTTGAAATTGTTTTAATCGTTGATGTCGTTTAAAACAGTTTGAAGAGATATTGATGACCTTTGGGTAAATTTAAATTTTTTAAATGAGGTACTTTACATAAATTTGAAAAGAGGGAGAAAACTTTGTTGAAAATTGGGGAATGGTTGGTGAAAAACTTCAGAATTGAACCCTGATTAATTATGAGGATTTTTATAGTTTTATTGTTGTAACATTTTTTAAAAGATATATTTGGTGTATCGCCCGTTAAACTTCCATTTTTTTTTCTGCAGCAGCAGCAGTAGCAGCTGGCGCCATGAGAAAGCTAAACTCGCATGAGACTTGTTTAGCATAAATGTCCAAAGTCTATTTCATTTTTCTTGGTTAGCTTTTCTTTATACTATTTTCAAAAGCGTATGTGTTTTTAATGAATCAAATTTTTATTTTTTATTTTATGGGGTGTTGTGTTTAGATGACTAATTTGTAGATTGTTGTTTTTGTCGTCATTCGAAAATTTTGTGGATGGACAGGTACTTTCGCGTTATCGTGAGGAGAGTTATAGTGCAACCACATTTGGAAGATGAGACTCGTATTGTTGAACTTAGAAAAATGCCTTTATGAAAAATTACAGATTAGAGGTGAAACGTAAAGAAGTTTGTTAGATAGTCTTGAAGAATGGTGAATTATTTTTTAATTAACAGGGAAAGAAAGGAGAAGAAATGAAGCGTAAAGTGGAGTCCATTAAACTTACTTTGGCTGGTTTGAAAGCTGTGCTTGCTGTGGTTCTCATCGAAAAGTGCTTGCTTTTTTGTCCCGTGGTATTGAAAAATAAGACTTATATTTGGTTAGTTACTTTTTCTGTCTGGCGAAGAGCAGAGCATGGCGTTAAAAGAAGAGAACAAAAATTTTTTAGTTTATATTGTTAACAAATTTTGCAAAAAAAAGCGAGGAAGCGGGTCATACAGAAGTCGAGTGAAAAGTTAACTGAATGAAAGCGTTTACTGGAGATTAAAAAATTTGGAAGTTATGACAGTGATGAGATGACTGTGGAATACGGGTTCAAACATCTTTGCATATACGTATACTTATGTTGTTTGTTTCTGATTTTTCGATTCAGAGACGTAAATATTTATCAGTGGAATGATGAATGAAATTTATTGTCGCTAGTTTTTACGTCGTTGTTATCAGTCGTTTACCTGTATACCAATTAGTTGCTTTTGAATATTTTTTGTTATTTGTCGGTTTAGGGGTCAGAGGACGTGATGTTGAACTTCTGGTGTCAGCAGGGAATGGAGAAATATCATATTTTTCAGCTTATGGCTAAATGAGAGGGTTCTTTTGTTCTGTAAAAGCCATTGCTTAATCGCAATTTCTTAACTGCTTAAGACTGGGAACATCGCTTGAAAAAATTTGCCATTAATTTCATTTTCCTAATGTGGACATAATCGTTAGTTATTGGTTTTGTTCTAAGTGTTTTATAGTTTTATGTAAGCATTTGGAATTTTTAAATTTTTTAAGTTTATTTCTTGCTTTTTTCTTTCCAGTGTAATGGTTGTGTAGTAAATGAAAGAAGACACAAAAAATTTTTATGTATTGATTGGGTGAACGACAACTCTATTTATCTGTAGTTCAACTTTGTTTTTTTTTTTTTTGTTTTTGTTGTTGTTGTTCTTAAAATGATATCTGTTTGATTGACTGATACTGAGGAAGGGGAGGGGACTAGACAAATGTCATTAAAACCAATGGTGTACAATGGCGTATGAACAGTGGAGGGGGGAGGGGGAAGGGAAGAAAGAAGGAATTGAAAGGGGGAAGGGGGGAATAAGGGTGGAGGGCAAAGGGGAAGCAGGAAATGGGGGGTTTTGAGTTATTTTACATATACGGAGAGCAACAAGTACTTTGATATTAATAGAAAAAAGCTGAAAAAAATTTTTTTAATTTTTAGTTGTTTTTTTGTTCAAAACTTCTTTTTTGTTACATTTGACAGTTTTTACCGAATTAGTAATGATGTGTGTGTCGTAAATCCGGTTTTCTCTCTCTCTCACTCTTGTTCATAGTCAGCTCCGATCGTTTGTGTGCCCGTTCTTTCGTCCCAATTTTGCTTTAACGCATTGTCAATTAGTTTTTATAATTGCGGCCTCTGCGCTTCTGTTCTTCTTGTTATTTGTCTTCTTTTTTTCTGTATATATTGATGTTCACTTTTTGAGCAACAATTTTTATTTGAATTTGTAGTAGTTCAATCAGCTTTTAGTACAGCAACAACAATAATAATAATAATAATAATTATTATTATTATTATTATTATTATTATTATTATAGGAGAAGAGGAAAGAAAATCGTAAAAAGTTTATGATTGTTAACATTTTGGGCTTTATAAATTTTTCAAGATAATAAAAGTTCAGGTATTACAAAGCTTCAACCTCATAGTTGTTAATCTTTTTTTCTTTTTTTGTTATTTTTTGATATAGGCTTTAAAAATGATGGTTTTTTAAACTGCCAATTTTTTTCTTCTTTGTTCTATGTAATTTTTATTGAAGAGTAAAAGAGGGGAATTTTTTTTTGAATTTTTTTGTTCAGTGTGTAAGGTTATCTTTTAGGAGGAAAAATTACTGCTTTTTCTTTTGTAAAGTTAGTTTTGCAAATGGTTTTTTTGCGTCTTTTTTAATGTAAGCTGAAATTGCTGATAATTGCGAATAAACTGTTCTCAAGTTCAATTTAGTGTAGTTATTTCGTTTTTTTCTTTTTTAATAGAAAGTATCGGAAAGCACTTTTGCATTTTTTTGATTTGATTATTGCGTTAATTGGAAGCAACATTTTTCGCTTTTTAAACCATTATCATTACGTCCTCTTTTTTTTTTTTTAAAGTTGCTTCACTGAAGTTTTTTCCTTGTTTTTATCGTTGTTTAAATTGGTCCTCTGCTGCTAATGTTTTTGAATTGGATCGTTCTACCGTTTTTGTCGGTTGTTTCTAGCAGTATAGTTTCTGTTTTTGAGCTGTTTGCTTATCTGTCAATGGATCTATGCTCTGTTTTTTTTTTT